GCGGTGATGCTTAGTTCTGACTATTGCAATGCACTTGACTTCTAATAAACTTTTCTCAACAAATGGAGCCAATAATCTTTTCTATTTAGAGGTTTAAATGGTGGCATATCTGACAAAGACTTTAACTCACCTTTCTTTTAATTAAATCAATACAGGCTAAACTCCCATACTGGAAAATATAGGATCTGCTCATAGCATCATCTTTATTCCCAAGGAGATCTTTGGGTGTATTGGCATTCCCAAAACAGGAAGAGCAGTTAATTATAGCCCATTACTATGCTTGGAAATATGTCCCTTGGCCAAGGCATCTTAAGCAGTTATGATGTCAGGAAGCAACCTCTCCCATCTGCTTTCTGAGTACAGGTAGTCCTCGACTTACAACCATTCATTTAGTGACCATTTGAAGTTGCAACATTACTGAAAAAAGGGACTTGTGATCGTTTTTCACACTTATGACCATTGCAGTATCTCCATGGTCACATGATCAAAATTCAGGCACTTGGCAACTGACACGTATTTATGATGGTTGCAGTGTCCCGGGAACATGCAATCAACTTTTGTGATGTTCTGACGAGCAGGTGGTACCACCTATTCCAGTGGTAGCGAACCTATGGCACGCGTGCCAGAGGCGGCACTCAGAGCCGTCTCTGTGGGCACACGCGCCGCTGCTGCCAGCAGCTTGCGCAGGTCCATTAGGCCGCTGCTGCCCAGAGCAGCCCCACCGGCACAAAGGAGGCGAAGCAGCCAGCTAGCAAGCTCAAGTAGAGGTGGTAGAGCACGCCCACACCCAGCAAGTCAAAGGCCACCCCGAGCAGGGAAAGCCGGACCCCCGTTGGCACCATGGCCTCCCAGCCCCAGCTAGGATTGCGTGCCTCCCCCCACCTATGCTGGGCCTCCTACCCATCGCCCAACCCACCAGAGACCCCCTGGATCTCCCCCAATCCCACCCGGCCCTCACAGGCGTCCCCCCCATGAGCAACATTGAGGTGGCCATGCCCACCCCAGCCACGCCCACCCAGTTTGCCGTGACAGCCGCAGTCATGCCCACGCAGTGGGCCACACTCCCATGCCCCCCAAGGGCACAATGCTGATGCTGCCCTGGCACTTTGCGATAATAAGTGGGTTTTCGGTTGCGGTTTGGGCACTCGGTCTCTAAAAGGTTCGCCATCACTGACCTGTTCCATATCTGTACATTTGCTTTTACTTACCTAAGTATAAAATCTTACTTTTCTCACCACGGAATTTCATTTTGTTAGAGAGGGCCCAGTGTTCGCACTCTCTGCGTTTGGAGTAACTATATCCAAATATCAGTTGTAGAGGAACAAGAATGGGAGAAGGGTGTCGGTTCTTGTGAAAAATACAGGGAGTCCTTGACTTACAACGGTTCATTTAGTGACTGAAGTTACAAAGGGACTGAAAAAAGTGACTTATGACCATTTTTCATACTTACAACCGTTGTAGCATCCCCATGGTTGCGTGATTTACATTTGGATGCTTGACAACTGATTGACGTTTATGACAGTTGCAGTGTGTCCCAGAGTTATGTGATCCCCTTTTGCGAACTTCTGACAAACCAAGTCAACGGGGAAGCCAGATTCTTTTTTTTTCTTTATTTTTTTTTTTATAATCCCTCTTCTTCTTCACTCTCCCCCTCTCCTCCTTCTCCTCAACCTTCCTACTTACTTCTCCCCTTCCTCCTATCTTCTCATTGCGGATGCAGTCCAGGAGAAATGCCCGAGCAATTCCTCTCTCCAAAATAAAACATAATATTATAAACAATGAAACTATTTCTACTTATCTGAGCTATTTAACCTTCAATCCATCCCCCCTCCCCCCACCCCCTCCCCCCCACTTCCCAGAGCCAAGTACAGGGTTATACAAACATATTAAACATAATCTATTTAAGTTTACTAATTATACAATAACCAAAATCATACTAACCCTTAACTCTCTTCAAACTTTAACATTAACAACAATTTTATAAACAAATCTATTACTCATAAAATAAATGAAACTTTGTAGTTCCATATTTCTTCTGAACATATTCTATCCATCTTCTCCATACAATAACATATCTCTCTTGTGAATGGTCCTTTAAATAAGCAGAAATTTTAGCCATTTCTGCAAGGGGGAAGCCAGATTCACTCGACAACCATGTTATTAATTGAACAACTGCAGTGATTCACTTAACAAATGTGGCAAGAAAAGTCGTAATACGGGACAAAACTCACTTAACAGATTTTTCACCGAGCAACATGAATTTTGAGCTCAAGTGTGGTTGTAAATTGAGGACTACCTTTATATTGACTGAGATGGGCTTTTATTATCCAGCAGGCTTATGTTTCTCCCCCCCAACTTATTAGAAAACTATGGGGAATTGAGCAAGGACAGGCATATGTATAAAAACTAAGAAAGCCCAAAGGAGTGAAGAGTCAGGAAAGATGAACTTAACATGTACAGAAGGGAACTGCTGCTGCTGCAAAACAAAAAAAACCCCACCCCACTGCAGGTAGTAATTGAGGGACTTTAAAAGAAAAAGCAATTTAGCAGCTTGGAAAAAGAATATGCCATGAAAATTTATGGGCTGAGGAAACAAAGAGAAATTTGAGCAGAGAGGAAGAAGTTTCCTTGGGGAAATCAACAGTGAAATTCTTTGATAGGTGAGGGAATTGATCTTCTCAGGTAGGCAGTCTCACAAATCAAGAATTAGTGTCTGAATGGTAAGCTATTTCTTCCTTAATGGTTTGATTGCTTAAGGAAGGGGGCTACATCTGAACTGTTTGGAGACCTCCTGCTCTACTTGGCTTAGTTCTCTTGAACACAAGCTATATATACTGTGAAAAATAACAGAAAAATCCCTTCACCCAAGAGTGGATACATGCAATGTAAAACCTCACATATGGTCATCTGATGCAATGTAACATTTGTATCTAGAAGCTTAAGAGCAGTGGTTCTCAACCTGTGGGTCGGGACCCCATTTGGGGTCGAACGACCATTTCACGGGGGTCGCCAAACAACACAGTCCGCCATTTCCCCCCCCCTTTTCCTTAGCTGTGCTACTCCCTTTTATTCTATTAGCTTTTGAAAGCCAATAGAATAGACTCTCTTGAATAGAGTCTAATTCTATTGGCTTTCAAAAGCCAATAGGAATTGTCCAGGCTGTCTCTGCCCTGCTCAGCCCGCCAAAAGTCCCATTCTGCAAACAGTGCTGCACCAGTTGAGTAGTCCTCGACTTACGACCGGTTGGGGGTCGCAGCATTAAAAAGGTTGAGAACCACTGCTTAAGAGGGAAATTATTTGTTTTAAAAAAACCCCAGTAATTTACCAATTAGATAGGTCTGTTGTTATAAACTAGCTATTATTATGTAGAAGTAAAAAGTGGAGGCTTGATGTTATTATCTTATTCTACTTGCACCAAAGGGAGTCAGAAGTCAATGCCTTTTCTTTCTTTTTCCCCTGCCCTTTCCCCTTCCTTATTTTCCTATTTTATTTTGTACTCTTGTATTTTATATTATAAACTAAGAACCCAGAAATTATATAAAGCCAAAAATAAACAAAATTGCTGTACAAATTATTAATCCCTAATTTTCTAAGGTAAACCTTAGTGTGTACCCCAGGAAAGGGTACCATTTTGATTTTGCTTACTTCTGAAATGTCTTTTTATTGCCCCCCCCAGTAGATTTTACTAAAAGGAATAAAGTTTCAGGAGCTACAGTTCACTCTAACACCTTTTAATAAGATTTGTGGGTCTAAAAAGTAATTACCAACTGTCTCCCAATTTTTTGGCTAACATAGACTAATGCAGCTCTCGTCCTGCAGTTTTCCAACTGTATCTTTGGGAAGAATCATAAATACGTTTCAATCTGTACATATTAGAATACATTTCACGTTAAGGCTGTAAAATATTTTGCCACTCACTCTCAGTGGCACCTAGCTAAGTATTATCACACTACCCCAAAACTAATTTCTTAAAACATTTTCTCTCAAGGCTCCTTCTCACTTTTAAAGATTATGGATGAGAGCTTTCGTTTATAAGGGCTATATTTATAAATATCTACTGTATAAAATTAACATTGACATATTCACAGCCACTGTTTGCATCTCAGGATTGTTCAATGGGATTTTAATATATTATTTTTTTCAATATAGGCTGGCAAATAATTTTGATTTTGAGAACCCCTGAGGATTTTGGGGGGGGGGGTGTTTCTAGGACCACACTTTAGAAACCACTACTCTACACTATTGTATTAAGCCTAATTTTACTGCAGTAATACAAAAGATGGCAAATTGCATAAAAGCAAATTAGGTAAAGCCAGGAACACATAAGATCGTTGTACAAGACGTTAACTCCTAATTTTCCATGGAAATCCTTAGCGTTTACCCAAGGACAAATGCATTTTTCCAGGCTAAATAAATACCTTGAAGGAGGGGAGGGAAGAAGATACCAAACGATATTCTGCCCCCTCCCTGTTTTCAAACGCTGTTAAGACCCCTCCCTGTTCCTGCTATAAACCATATGCCACAAAGGAGGGCATTTTGCTAGCTAGGCATTTTGAACAGAGTCCCTCGAAGCGTTTTAAAAATGAAGTCATTATAGCAAAGGCGTTTTGTTCCCATATGCCTGAACTCTTAAAAGAGAGGGTGGCGAGCAGAGCAAGGAAAGAACCACGCTTTGAACGTAGTACAAAAAGCAGATGAGATGTCCTGGCGTAATACTTCAATGCGAAGTACGCACGATGTTGTTTTATCATTTCTCGTCCATTAGACAGCTTTCCAACGCCCCTTCTCATTTTATCGCCGCCACAAAAAAAAAAGAAAGAAAGAAAAATCGAATTTTTCGCTCCGGCTCCCCTCCTCTGTCACCTACCACGCCCCAACTCTGCCTCCCCCCCCGCTTTTTTTTAGCCACGTGATTTTTTTCCTGCCCCTGCCCTATCAGCGTGCGCTCCTGATCCCTTTCGACCAATCAGAGCTCGAGCCGACCTCCAGTTTATAAAAGCTTTGTCTGGTTCTCTGCAGGCTAGCCCCGCTACTTCCTCAGAACGTTTCGCTGTTGCCGCCGCGTTCGGAGAAGAGAATCTTGAGCTCCGCAACGTTCTGCACTTAAAGGAGCAGCGGCGTCCGGCTAATCTTAAAAGCAGAAGGCAGACAAAATGAGGGAAATCGTACACATTCAAGCTGGGCAATGTGGTAACCAGATCGGAGCAAAGGTGAGGCTGGTCAATTTTTTTCCCTCTCTTCCACCCCCTCCCCGCCAAGCGGGCCGAGCGTTAAATTTAAATATAGTCAAGTTGAAAAATAGCGAGAGGCGGGACGCGGGATCAGGAACGGCTCAAACGCTTTGTCCTGTTGCTTCTTCTCCATTGCCACGGTGGCGAAACGGAAGTGCTCCAGGGGCGGAGAAGCACGTGGCTGCGTTTAATTTTTGAAATTAAGGGCTGCAGAGGAGCCCTTTTTTTTTTCAATCGCCGTTGCAAAACACGGTGCGGTCGCTATGAAACCCGGTTACAACGATGTTTTTATATATATAGATATAGATATAGATATATCACCTCTAGATTAAAGCTATTAATCGGAGAGAAAAGATTGGGGCAGGCGGCTCCCCCTAATCCCCCTCCCCGCTAAAAAAAATGTACTGATTTTCCTTCTAAAGGGAGGGGCTCTCGCCCTTCTGTCTTGGCACTATTGTTCGGCCTTCCCTTTTAATCCCGCGGTTTAGCAATGAATGGGATTATTAGACCCTAAATGGCAGAGGTCTATCCGTGAACGTCACCCTTTCTCCCTTCGCGCGATGGGGGAGGAGCGATCAAATGCCCGCCAGCTAATCCGGCGTAGCATGTAAATTCTAGCGCCAAAGCGGCTGAGGAAAGGCGGTGCAATTCCGAAATGTATCCGAATAGAGATCGAGTGAGAAAGGAGAACAAAAGCCGCCGGGCTGTTTTTAGCGCCGGGGATGAGAAAGGGCGGCTCTGGGGTGTGCGCGTAGCCCGACCTACATATCGAAATAGAGCGAAGTGGGTCAGCAGGCTTGAAATGGAACTCAGGCAGCCGGGGAGAAAGACGGGAGGATTCGCACACAGGGTGTTGACTTTCCTCCCCCTCCCCTCCCCGCTCCTAAATCCAACGGCGCCGTATCGGTCGTCTTTTTTTGCGACGAGCGAATCCGGTTTCCTCCGAGCCGAGTTCGTTCCCTGGGATCGTCGTCTCCTTCCACGCGGTCGATCCTTTTTTTTTTTTTTATCCGAGCCCCACCCCGTTTTCCTGATCCGTTTGAGATCGGATCGAGAAAAATAAGAGAAAGAGGAGGGATGTGGGGAAGGTTAGAGAGGGTGGACGCAGCCTGGGGGGGAATGGGCAGGCGGTACCAATGGTTAGGAATTTAATTGTATTTTGTATGAATAAATGGAAAATAAAAACTTTTTAATAAAAAAAAGAGAAAAATGAGAGGATCCGAGGGGCTTTCCGCAACAGAGGCGCGGCTCTCTGAGAGACTTAATGGAACCGGTTTCCTAATAAAGCACGACGGGGGTTGTTGCAGGCGTGTAACCAGACCCTGGGTAGGCTTACTCGGGAGTAAGTCCCAACGAGGCGCTCTCCCTTTTTTTAAAAAAAATTTAAAAACCCCCGGGTATGTTTTTAAAGAGGTGTTCTGAAAAGCAGCAATTTACCTCTATAAATAAAATTGTCTTTCAAGATTTCCATAAACGTACAAAGAAAAGGAGGGCCCGGAATACTTGAATATTTTTACACATTTTTTTTAGGGTTAATAAAACAGCATTCAAGTTCGGGGAAGCCTTCCCCCCTTTTTTTATTTGGGGGGGCTCGAGTATCGAGGGGCTCCGTAGCTTCTACGTTCCTATCTGACATTGGATCCCGGCTTGAAATAAACCTAACGGGAGCTGCACCTCTAGTCTAGTGTAATAACCTCTGATTAGCCGAGAGAGAGAAGAAAGAAACGCGGCCTTCTGTAAGTTTGTTGCAACCCGAGGCTTGAAATGTAGCAGGGAGAGGGGAAGGTTGCTGCTTTGAAAGGGAAATCCTAGCGAAAATCTGTAACGATTTTTCAGACGTCTTGGCCTTCCGCTCTTGTTGTCGCTTATACGCAGGCTGCTTGAGGGGTGGGGTGGATGATGGGAGCTGGAGTCGAGAGTATTGGTGGTGGTGGGGCGCCAAGTTGGGGAAAGCTGGCTTGCAAAGCTCCATTAGTGCAATAGTGTTTTTTTTTTTTTTAAATCGACTTACTCTACTGCAGAACGGATGCCCTAATACTGGCGCCAAATCTCCCGTTACCCCCACCCCACCCCCTTTTTTTTTACCCGCCCACCATTTCCAGCCTTCTTTGTCTGCAGTCGGAGAAGCACATGGCCGCCGGGCGCGCTCCGGTCTCTCTCTCTCCCTCTTTCACTCTTTCCCTTCCCTCCCTCCTTCCTCCCTTCCCTCCCCTCCCTCTATCCTCTCCCTGCCTGGCCGAGCTCTCCGCCCGGTGGTTGCCCTTCTGCTCGGCTGCAGCAGCTACAGTAGACAAAGGTTTGTGGGTTTGTGTAATGGCTGCTGCCCGGAAGAAAAAAAAACGCCCGGCAGGGGCGTTGAGGCGTTTTCTAGCAGCAGCAGCAACGTGGTTGAAGTGGATATTAGCAGGAGAGCTCTATTTTACATACCAGATCATATTTTTTTTATTCAACATACATTCTCCTTTTTGGGCTGCCTTAAAGCCCCAGAGTTGCTTTCCAAGCTGCTGAGCCTGGCCCTGCCCTGCCACTCTGCTGTCTGTGTGCAGTCCTTGAAATCCTGGTTATAGGAAAGCCTCCCACCCAGCTGTTGAAAATCATCCAGTTGCTCTCCTGGATTATTAGCCTGTAGAAAGGAATAGGGCTTCTTAAAAGTCAGTGACCCTGCAGGGATGAAACCTTAACTTGCACTGCATTTCAGCTGAAGGGTCTAGAAGATCAGAGCTGGAGACAATGGGGTGCCCGCCCACCATATTCCCCAACTCCCAGCATAGATGCCCTGCATCTTTCTGCCTGTGGGACACTCACATGATGAAACATCAAAGGGCTTCTGAAGCAGCATAAACACTAAACCCCACACCCATCTTAAAAAAAAAAGTCCTTGCTTTTTAAAATCAAACCTCTCTCTGGATGCGTGAGAAATTCTGATTGTCTGCCTGAGTGGTTGGACTACAAGACCTCCAAGATCCCTTTCAACTCTATTGTTCTGCTCTACATCCATGTTGAAAGGCAGGAAGAATGCCCAGCCAGGCCTTCAGAGAAAAAGCTTTTGAGAGGTTAAACTAACTATTGCAAGGTGCCACGTTTCAAAATCCTCTTGGTTATCCCCATAGTCTTAGTGTGAAGCTGGGTTTCTGCAACATGCTATAAGCCTCCTTAAAGTTAGGACATTGTATTAAGCAGACAACTGCGGTATCCATTGTAATGGGTCAGTGGTCAGTTTTCTCTCCATTGTGCTACTTACATCAAAAGATTGGAGAGAATTATTCACCTGTATCCTTAGAATAGGCACTAAAATTAGCATCCCTACCTTGGAGATTATTCTCACAAGGAGCTGTCTTGCTCCTGTAGACATAACCCATCCTTCCCTGTCCTCTCTTTTTTCCCTGACCTCCATCATTCTATAATTTTAGATGTTATATGGAATGGATTTTTGAGCAGTAAAGATAATTTAGCACCTGTACAGTATGATAGAGATACATTGAGAAAGCAGAATCCTGCAGTTTGTAGAATTGGCTGATGGACCTGTATGCTTTGTTCTCTTTCTGGTAAACTCTTATATGGTGCATATGATGTTTGGGGGGGGGGGAAGGAAAGAAAAATCAATACCAGGGATCATTATTCATTTTCCAAAATGCTGCATTGTTCCTGGAAGGCTGTAGCCTTTAAGATGTATTCCAGGATCCATTGATGCTAATCCAGTGTCTGCTCCTTCCCAGCTGCCCCACCCAGATTACCTCTACATGACCTACGTTGCAGTATACGTTGCAGTATACGCATCCACTTCGGTATGCGTGAGGGTGTGTCTGCAGGTTTTTGCTGGCATCTGATGAATTAAAAGCAGACTCCACTAACTGAGCTGCAGGCTTTCTCTATTAGATAATGGGGAGCATCATTAAAAAAAAGAGACCCCACTCACGATCCTTTAGAACAATAACTTCCCACTGGACCTCTATAAAATTCCTAGCGTTGGAATCTATGCACATTCCAATGGTGTGCAATGAGTTTTTTTGGTCCCATGTCTGGCTGCATGCAGTTTTTTTTCCCCTGATTAGATCTGCAGTCAGGGTGGGGCTAGACCCAACTCTCCACCTTCCTCCCCACTAGTGTATTTAAAAATTTATGTATCTGCAGTGTCTTGGGTGTGTTTGGCCAGCAAATAGGAGAACCAAAATTAGGAGTGGGTTTTCATTTTTTTTGCAAATAGTGCCTGTAAAAAGATCTGAAACTGATTTGCATATAGGGGTCCATTGGAAGCAATAATCTCCTAGGAAGAGAGTACCACAGTTTTGTGCTGCGGTTTGTCAGGTGTCTTTGCCCACACAATATGAAGGAATCTTAATACTAGAAGGGAGAATCTTAATATTTGAAGGTTTTTATCTGTTACTTTTCTTATAAAAATGATGCCAATTATTATCTCCCTTGGAGAAAAATGTATCCCTATGAATGCAAGATTGTACTTTAAAACTACAGCACACCTATTTCTTCCTAAGTGAAACCCTTAGGACTGAATGAAGATTTTTAAAATTGGCATACAACAAATAGAAACTTTTTAAGAAATTTCATTAATTGAATATAAACAAAGGCTTATAGAAAGTGGGAAAAAACTGACAAAAGTAAAAAAAATGCCCACAAGGCATATATTCATACATAAATATATATAAGTAAAATGCTAACATAAATATTACAATGAACAGCCATATTTCATTATAATCATTGATGTGTGTGTATATATATACATACATACATATACATACATACATACACACATACATACATACATACATACATGCAGCCAGTAGGCCATACCCCCTCATTTGTTGCTTGGGTTAGTCATAAGGTTATTATGCTAGAAGCTGGACAACTATAAAGGGGCTATTGATTCTGAGAACCACAAGGAAGACATTTGAAGCCAAGTCTGCTTCTTAGAAGTATCTACTCTGTTCTTCCCACTATTCATTGCTATGAAAAGAGCACATTCC